CAGACCATGTATCTCGCGAGACCCAGTCAGAGCATTGCCTGGTAACTTGCGGCAATGCTCTGATTGGCATGATCTTGCGAGACACATGGTCTGCAGCTCTGCAAACTGCGGAGCTGAAGACCAGTGGCCACGGACGCTCTCCTGCTGGGCAGACGGCATGGAGGGGCCTTGCACCCGGTGGCATATCGAGCCCCCTCCTGGTGTCGGGTCATCGGTCATTGACTGAGGACCCGACACAGTCTGCCCAATGGTGGTTTAGGCAGCCGCGAAGCCCCAGACAGTGTGAGGCCTTAGGCGGACGCCTATGCCAAGCACCATACCCACTACAGATTGCAGTTTTGGTGCTAGAATTGTCATGGCACCCACCCATAGTAATTAATAAAACTATTCTAAAATAGTTTGACCTCTTACCTAGGCATCACTCTGGACAATGGAGAAACAAACTCTAAGCAGGAGCTTTTCTTGACTATCCGGAGCTAAGCCCTGTAATAGAGTGCTAGCTCATTGGTTGAGAGCATCGCTAATCACTCTCAGTAAACGAGCTAAGCTTAGCTCAGACAGCGCTCCCAGCTCTCTGTATGGCATAGTGAAGGAGGGGGAACAACGCCTGCTAGATCCAGGTAATAAGCCAAACCATTCTAAAATGTAGTGGTTATGGTGCTTAATGTTTCTTTATAAATGTCTTCCATACTCTTGTCTTGTGTTGTAGTTGAAAATTAGCAAAACGTTAACCGTACCTTCCCTGGTTTAATATTGTATTATAAAATGTCTATTAATTGGTACTTCTGGAATATTTGCACGGGTCAAGGAAATTGATAGATTTCCTGCTCACAAGATCACACAGCTGGAACCTGCGCAGTTCACATTTATCAATATGTCTAGTGTTTTGTTTAATTAAACCCATTTTCCCATGGTCTAGTTTCTCATTGGATCACACGACACAAGGCTGTACAATGCCTCCAGTGATTCGCTCTCCTTACCCAACGATTGGCTCGCTACTTTATTAAACTGTCCATGCAGCTAATGGTAACACTTTGTAAAATTACCTACTGCAGGGACAAAAGGAAAATGGTAATACATAAAAGAAAAAAAAAGGCATATTTGAATGTTTTTAACCCCTTAAGGATACATGACATGTGTGACATGTCATGATTCCCTTTTATTCCAGAAGTTTGGTCCTTAATGGGTTAAAGATTGTTGTTTTATTCCTATTTATGAATGGTAGAGTTCCTTAAACTGCCAGTAGAGGGCACCGTTTACTACCGGCTGATATTCCAAAAGCTCTCCGCACCAGAGATAAGCGATTGGAACTATCCATATTTATTAAATTAACATTTTATATATTTTCATACTAAATGTCGCTGCTTCCAGCAGACAGAGTTCCCACGATAGTTTACGATTTCCCTGGACATTATTTGGAATGTGGCCAGGTCCTGGTTGGGTGCACGTGTGGCACATGGAAACCCCATTTGGTTTGCTCTTTCAAGTGAGGACAAGTTGTGGGTTGGAGACCTTCAGTAGATAATAGTTTTGTGGATACGGGAGTTCGATACATTGTTTATTCTTTCGATGCATTCATTTTCACATTTTGTTCTCTTTTTTGTGCCATGGCATGAAAATAACTGATTTGTGTTAATTGTTTTAGGTCAAAAAGGACGTCAGGTTTTCAGAAGGACTGATAAGATCTGCCGGGAACTCCAAGACACTCTAACGGTCGACGGAGAGATAGAAATCACTGTTTTCTAAATCTGCTGGCTTGTTTGGAACTTAATATTTTCTTTTTAACTTGTATAAAAGCTGTATATTTAAATTCTATATATTTTGCACATAAATGACTAACTCAAAGCCCCGCCCTTGAGAACACTATTCCAGCCAGTCTAAAGCTGGAGTGGTTATGGTGCCAAGAGTAACATGGCTCTGTTTCCCGGTAATGGGCAAACCATTTTGCAGCAGTTTGCCCTTTTGCCTGAGTCCGTGTCCGGCACAAGCCATTCTCCTGTGGCCAGTGAGGTCAATCCTGCCGGCCATTTGTTGTTCCATGATGGCTAATACTGCTCCAATGATGCGGCCGCAGAGAGGGTTACACCTCTGGCAGCAGAGGGGTTGAACTATAGTGGTCAAGGCACTTTAAAAAACCCTTTAAGTCTGGACTTACAATACAGAACAAACTTGCCCAGAATTCCATTTTTGGCAGGCCTGGTTAAATGTAGATCTCTCCCATTACGTCAAAGGGTACATTTAGATTTAATGTGTTAGAGAAGCATTTTTTACTATTTGCCCGAGGTGTAAATTCTACGCTGGTTTCATCTTATCAAACGTCAATCAGGGGATATCTGTAGAGGATGTTTGTAAAGCGTAATTGTAGGGCAAGACTCTAAAAGAAACACGATCTGTTGGTTTCCATGGTAATTGCGCCAGAATTGCAGTCATACAGAATTTCCTCTTAAGTCCAACTGAAAAGTTATTTGTACAAATACAAACCAAAACCATTTTATCTGTAAAGTATACCCAGATTTAATTAAACTAGTATTCTAGTGTCTACTATAATAAGCACCAACAGTATAACACACAATATTTAAAATGGAAAATGAGAAACATTTTCACACAAAACAAAACATGACTCACAAGGGATCATAACTACTGAATTTCAGTATAAGATTTCTAATAAATGATAAGTCAAGAGTTCTCTTTAATGAAATACCGTGCTGAAGGTGGCCTACTCCTGCTCTAGAGCAGGGGTTCTCAACCCAGTCCTCAAGGACCCCCTACCAGTCCAGGATTTGAGGATTACCTGGGTGTGTCTCAGGTGTTTAGAAAAAGGGAAAAAAACACCTTAGACTCTAAGGTGTTTTTTTTTTTTCTAAACACCTTAGACACACCCAGGTAATCCCTAAACCCTGGACTGGTAGGGGGTCCTGAGGACTAACGTTGAGAACCCCTGCACTAGACCATTTCATTGACTCTTGAGGGCCCCACCTGCCAAACCCAGTCTTATTTGGTCAAACTGACAAAAAAAAAATGAAATTGGGGACCACCACTCAGACTCCTAAGCCCCCTTGAATATAATGTTTATATTTAATTCTTCTTAAAGGGACACTATAGTCACCAGAACTACAGCTTATTGAATTTGTTCTGGTGAGTAGAATCATTACCTTCAGGCTTTAAAATGCAGTGTTTACATTACAGCCTAGTGATAACTTCACTGGCCACTCCTCAGATGGCTGTTAGAGATCCTTCCTGGGTCATGGCAGCCTAAAATGCATCCAAACATTCAGTGTCTCCTCCCTCTGCATGCAGACACTGAACTTTCCTCATAGAGATTCATTGATTCAATTCCTCTCTATGAGGAGATGCTGGTTGGCCAGGGCTGTGTTTGAATCATACTGGCTCTGCACCTGATCTGCCTCTTTGTCAGTCTCAGCTAATCCTATGGGGAAGCATTGTGATTGGATCAGGCCACCACTTCTAATGATGTCAGCAGGCTGCTTGTTTTTCTTAGTCTAACAGCATGCAGAGTTACAGCTTCAGGCTTGAATACAGTAAGATTTTGCTATATTTATGGAGGCATGAGGGGCACAGGGGGCTAGATGGTGGTTTTAACTCTATAGGGTCAGGAATATAGGTTTATGTTCCTGACCCTATAATGCTCCTTTAACTCACTGAACTTCTTGAGTAAAGGTGCATAACTGCAAAGCTCTTTTTGTATATAAACGCTCTTCTAAATTCTGATTTTAATATCTAATTATAAAAGTAGTGGCATTTAAACAATTCTCTCAGAAATATCAATGTTTATTTTCATTTAATTCCTTGTTTTACACTGAAGATGTTTAGTAACAAACACATTCCTTTTTCGCTGTCATTTTTACAAATTGTACCATTATTTATGTTTATATGAAATACTTTTAGGATTCCATAAACAGGTATGTAATAAAAGGTCCAAGCTGTATCTCACCTTGTCTGCTTTGTTTTTGTGCTTTAGATACAGTGTTGGGGTGGAGATTGAACAGATTTTTACCTTCCTGTCCCCACAGTCTAGCTTTTCCTAGACTGTTTCCCTTAAAGGGACACTATAGTCACCCAAAAAACTTTAGTTTAATGAAGCAGTGTTGATGTATAGATCAGACCCCTGCAGTCTCACTGCTCAATTCTCTGCCATTTAGGAGTTAAATCACTTCGTTTTGATGCCTACAATATCCCTTTAATTTTCAGCCAGAAGTACGAGACTTTGGGTTGCACTAAATATGATCCCATTGTACAGCGCTACGGAATGTGCTGGCGCTATATAAATAAAATAATATCATGGATTAGACGGCAAACCTAGAAATTTTATTACCTTGTGGGTTATGGGTCCAGCATTGAATTGATTGAACACCATAAGGGATAATGTCTGTAAAGGAATTACTTTACACCTTCAGCCACCTTGGTGGACTGCCCTAGCTCAATGCATTGAAATCTGACGTTTTTTTCCAACAGACTTTCACATTACAGACACAAACAGCCCATGTGGTGGTAACACAGACATTAACCCCTTAAGGATCAAACTTCTGGAATAAAAGGGAATCATGTCATGTGTCCTTAAGGGGTTAAACCGAATCACACACATCTATAATTTGACATTTTCTTTAGTTGCTATCAGTATAATTATTTTCTAACAGTCTTTACTTAAAACCAAGGGAGAACAGGTGGGTCACTAAATGGCTGTTTTTCTTACTGTTGTCTGAGGTTTGCTATTGATCCCGGACAGGTAAGTCTTTTAATAGAGGCTGATCATACAGCATGGGAGTCAGTCATCATAACCTCTGCTGAACATCTAGCCCATAGTGAATGCAAAAAGCACAGGAAAAAAAAATAAAATACTAGAACCGAACTAGGTTTAATAATTTCAGTCCATAAATTCACCTCTCATCTAACCTACAGAGTTTCCATTGTTAGAGGATTCTGGAAATTGAAATTTTATTTTATCAATCGAGATGGGATACTGAAAATGTTGCTGTGCTGGGATTAATTCAGTATTACCATAAATTCACTAATATCCAAGTAACTTAATGGTTTGGTGTGAATGGCACAGTCTGAAATTGTATCAAATGCAGGAAATCAAATGTGAGAATCTTTTTTTTTTTCAAATAAGTCATCTCAATATTACTTGCCGTTATGTAGGTCCAGTGTACAAATGCTAATGATCAATTTACTGATCTCTGGCCTCTGTGCAGACATTCGTTTGAATCTGTTCATTGGAATAATCTATTCTGAATTGTTTTACCTGTATAGGTGAGAGAGATTCGGATATTGGCAATGGATTTGTTTTAGTATTTTGGCATCGACAGGAATTTTATTTTGGTGAATAACAAATCTTTGCACATGTCTACCTCTGTCTCGAATTAAACGCTTTTCCCAACAGAATATCAACTGTAAAGATTTACTTAAACACACGTGCATATTTTGCCTATAATAGTCTGGCATGTTCCAGTGTCACTAGCATTAAACCGAAATAGAACGTGTATGTTTATAAAAACATTTATTGTTGGAACAAACAATTCATATTTCAGGGAAACTTGAAAACTTTACATGTCATTGTATAAATTTTAAACACAGCAAGAAATTTAAATCAAATATTGCTTTAGGAATATACAATAGAAGCAAATTTAAATTGTATAAATAGAAAAAAAAAGGGGGGTACAGCATAGAAAATATGGAAATTCCAATTATTTAATGAATTAAAACAAGATAAATATGTAAACAGGAACTTTTTTTTGAAAGCAAATACCCAAAAATTGCTTAAACAAAATCCTTAGGCTTCTGGAGTTTGAACAAAAAATAAAAAGTTAAACATTCATGTTTTTGTCTTGTGTAATATTTTCCTAATCTTCGCTACTGTAATGTGTGGGGGAGTTTAGACTCCACCTGAACATATTACTGGTTAGAATGTACAGAGGCTGTGGGTATAGACATTCCAGATTACATTTGTACGGGCAGGATTTAGCTAAACAAAACGTCAGATAACCCAACTAAAATAACTGGCTAACTCAAATATTTATTTATAATTAAGCTCTGAAACTTCCTCATTTCAAGTAGGGGATATTCTCTGGTATTTGTTAGACCGTTTGAAAATGCTTCAATAACCACTTCCATTTGTCATTTGGCTGCGCAACCATAACTAGTCTGCATCGGTTAGCGTGCTTGGACTGTCCCTTTAATCGTATTCTTTGCGTCCCATGTATTATGTAAAGAGTGAATTGCAGCCAGACATTTACAAAATTAAGCGAGAACGGCAAAAATTACCCAACATCTTTGTCTTTTTGACGTTAATATTTTCACCTAAATTTCACACTTTTTTTAATTTGACAGTTTAGTTAATAACAAACTGATAAAAAGAATTAAAAAAAAAAAAAAGTATTTGAATACAACTTTAGACTAGTCTGTGACTCTGATGGACTTTAGTTACACCATCGTGAGTAAGTGTATGGTGCCCTGTGAGAAGTGGAAAATGCCCTAACTAACCATGCCAATTCCAAGCCTGGTTTAATGGATTAGCTCTTTTTTCCTCACTCATTTCTCTTACTAGTCAGGAAGCTTAACAGGGAGAGAGGCTTTATCTTAACCTATGCTTTACGGTCTACCTTAAGTATCCAAGACTGTTGTGCTGCTATAAGTATTGAGACTTAAATCAAGCCTATCTCGTCCGGTCTATCCTAATCATTGGCGTTTATGGCTGCAGTTAACGAGTAAGTGCGTGACTATACCAGTTTATAACTGCAAATCTCTAGATTGTCTCCACATATTGGAGATATTTGCCTCCGATAAGCTCCAGTAGTAGACATTGGATTATCTCCCTATTGTTCTTGTAATAGTACAGCACTCTGGACTATTAATGGATGTAAGGAATCTATTGGCCACCACTAATAAAGCTTGACATTTAGGGGGCTCCCTTGTTAAAGATTTCATTTAGTCAGAAGTTAGCCTATGTGCTCTAGCCTTAATATACCGGACTTTTTACATATTTCTGGTTACGTGTACATCTATACATTGTTAACCGGCAAGATACCCAACAATGGCATTCGTGGACTAAGGACACCATAACCACTTCAATCTCTAAAGGCCTTTTATAACTTCATCTTCTGTGTGATGGCTGGGTGCCCTGTTTGACATGGAATAGTGTCAAATCCATCATCCAAACATTGATAACCACCTTTAGCACAGGTGGATTTATCAAATTCCTTGACTTGGGCACAGTTAACTGGGAATCCTTTTTTCTCTAAAACTAATCATTTTATTGTCTCTACCAATTACAAAAGTAGTCGCAGGTTTAAAAAAACCAAACCCAAATATGGGGGCCTGAAACGGACAGATTTTTAAAATTAACAAATGACTTATTAGGCTCTATGGAGGACAGTTCCAAAATAAACATTTTATTCTCATTTCAACAACACTAAATAATTTAGACTGTCAGAGTAGATTTGTTTATTGACTGTGAAACCACCATCTAGTTTCCTGTCTGACCGCTTGACGCACGTGGTATTACACATCCATATTACACAAATACTTGAGAATTATCCTATTTCGTACTTTATGATACAACTACTCCGTCAGGAAAACAAACAGCGAGTTTCTAATATGAGATCTACTCATTTCCTTCACCAGACTCAGCAAATAGTGAATTCGGCAACAATCAGACAGACCGCTTCTTCATTACAGAGTGGATTGTCTGCAATTTTACATTTTAGACCAAAATAACAGAATTTGAGAAAGTTTCCAACGCAGCTGTTTTTGGCCCAACATGTAAAATTCTCACTTTAGAGAAAACCCAGAGAATGTCTGTGGCCACCAGGAAGAATTTTATAGATTTGTTTGATACCAAATCAGTACATTTATAAAATTGCATAATTGTTAACAAATATCCTGACATGTATATAGAATTTAGAATGGATACAAGCAAAACTATTTTTTTTTGTAAAAGCTTCCTGGAGAGATATTAACGAAACCCCAGGCCAGCTGATTATTAATTTCAAGGAATTTACGATGTCTAAGCCAGTGGCTAGCACAAAGTTGATTTCCACTCGTGTTGTCAGTACGTGACAGTGAATAGTAAATACATTTCAGGCACAGAAGTGCCACCTATACAGGCACAATCATGGTACAGACCTACAGCTGGGATTTGGGGTCCGGTACATGGGAGTGTAAAAATCACAGTTTATCCACACACACAATACACTGTACTGTTGTTGTGTACCATTTTTTTGTCTTTCACCCTGCAACAATTCTGCACAAAGGTGTGTGTGTTTAATAGCCACAAACTGTGCTACACGTTTTGTTGTAAAAATCAGAAGTTGTAATCCCACAGCAGCTGGACAATCTAACTTTGACAAGCCTGGCGTAAAGGTTTGTCTAAGCAGTGATCCGGGATTTACAGATAACCCCACGTCTGGGCAATTCTTAATGAGTGGAGTAAACTGGCAATTAGGAATTGTATGAGAAACAATGATTTAAACAGGAGTTTCTCAGAGTGCAGATACGACGACGTGAGCTGCATTACTGAACTGTGCTCCTTTTACAGGCCCACGAATTGCCATCGCTGTATATCAAACAGCTTTATCCACTAAACTCCGATTTGCCCTTCGGCCTTACTTGAAAAGGTACAAATAGCTGATCTGACAATATTAGTTCAGCTATAGTTAGAGATGGGCTATTTTTTGTGTCAGTTTTAGAATTTGGGAATTAATCTGAAAATTCAGAGTCTAGTGAATAACCCTCAAAAGGGACCAAAAAAGGGTTTTCCACTGAACTGAAAAGGGAATAAAGTAATTTAGAAAAAAAAGTAGTAAAATGTAACTATGTGCGATTCCGAGAACGGTTTGAAATCCGTTATTGTAGTCTGTATTTTGCAATTCACCGATTACAGAACACACCCTTGAAGTTCAATGTTTGAATGGTTTTACAATATTAAAACTTATACCAGGCGGCCCATTTATGTGGCGAAAGATGGACAAAAATGTAAATATACTTTTTCCCTCAATTCCCTAATATAAATTAGCAGTAAATCCCTAAACCAGTTAGCAATGCTTGAGAGTATTTGCAGATCGTAAGCACTGCCACCCCAAAAATTAACCACTTATCTTTTTGCCCTATCCTAAACACCAGTCTGCTTTGATAGTCTGTATGCAGGTAACTAGGATGTCCAATTATTAATCAGGAATCCATAACTATTCCTAGATACATGAATTTTTTTTTGCCATCTACTTTATTTTCTGGGACATTTGTCCAACCACACCTGTAAATGAGAAGCACATTTTCTCTACTTGAAATGCTCTGTGCAGCAGTGACACGGTACCTCAAAACAAGTTAAGCTCCTTTAAAAAGAGATTCTAACATCTAGAAATGGCTTTTGCACAATGTTTTAAGATTCCTTTTGGAATATTGAAAAGAAAAAAAACAAACAACAAACACGCAGGCTGTATATATGGACTGTAACAGGAGTAACTGAATCAAACGTCTCACAAAAAGGCACTACTAAAAAAAAACTGGAATGTTATGGGTTGTCTGCCCATTTTGCATTGAAAAATATTAAAACTGTCCACTTACCGTTCGTGAATTTATTTATTTTCCGTTCGTAAGACTCTCCCATTGACTTTTACATTTGCCATGATGCAACTGGTTTTCTCCTGAATGGTTTGTTCTTCTATAAATTACAATCTTAACAGATAAAAGATCTAGTGCCAAATTGCACCAAAAGGAGGTATTTTAAAAGATAAAATAGAGAGGTCAGCAGATACCAAGAGATTTAACAGTTTAGACCAGTAGACTTGAATTGATGATGTTAATGGACGGAACAGCTTTTAAGGAGTGTTTGCATCCCATCTGGTTCTACATCATACCAGCTGCCTCCACCAGTTTGAAAGGCAAAAAATGTAACCGATTGATACAGCACAATTTATCAGAGGCATTTTGTAACAGCAAACCGAGAGTGCTAAACACTAACATAAAGAGACTCAAGACAAGTGGGTTAAAGTGTATTAAAAATAACTTAAAAAACGAATTTTATTTTTACGACTGCATTCGATAACCGCGGCTAGCTTAAGCCAGTGGTGAATTGGGACTTGAAATTCATGGTTTAGTGACATTCCAATAATCAATTATTGAATGCATATTAATAAAAGAAAATAATTTAAGGAGAACAGCATGATTTATTGAAAATAATTCTGACGGTGGCTTTCAAACCTTGGCTTTGCAGCAAGTTGGACACCCTTAAATCAAGAAT